TTGACTTTGGACTTACAAATATTGGTCTACTTTTGTTAAAAACTTTAAACAGAGTGTGTATGTGTTTGTGTGTGTGTGAGTGTGGGTAAACAGTTGTAATACGTTTCTTAACGTCTCCATAAGAAGTTATAGGCAGTCGGAAACTTTGACCAAGTATTATTAATTAGTGGTACATATCCATTTTTATTTATTAATCAGGATTTCCTATGCATCAGCTAACATCACACCTTCATGTTTGTTCAAACTGTTAGTATCTAGAATTTTATGAGGTCTTTGGAACCACCTTTTAGACATTGTTTATGCTCTTTCACTCTTACATTTACCTGTCTGGAATTTTCTCCTATATACACGGCAGACTTGAAGAAGCTAGAAAATAACTCAGAGATTGCACTGCATTCGATAGAAACGGGACACAAAATCAACTTTGATAAGACACTGACGTTTTACAGAAAGGTTTTGGTTCATATAAAGAAGGACTGACTGCAGAATCCCTACATATATGGGTGAATCCCAACAGTTTGAACAGACGTGAAGGTGTGATGTTAGCTGATGCATGTCAAATCCTGACTAATAAATAAAATTGGATATGTATCAACAACTAGTCACACTTGATCTAATTCCCGATTGTCTACGTCTTCTTATGGAGAGAATAACAAATGTTTTATGACTGTTCACCCACACACATACACACACCACTGTATACTGCATATACACATATATTTTAACAAAAGTAGACTAATTTTGAAAGTCTGAGGTCAAATTTTCGATCACAGTTCATACAATTTTGTTTATTATACATGTTGATGCCTTTTTCATGACTCATGAATGGACAAAGTTTCAAAAACAAGAGATGTTCCTTTTATATATAAACCTCTGTTATGTTAACTTCGATCAATTTCCCTGAAGAACTTCGGACCAGACTGCCGAACACAGGAAACGTTGGAATTAATCATTTCAATTTCGCTGAGACTTTACTCACTCGGCGCTCAACTATTTTGCAACTATCCGGTCAAATCTTGATCACAGTTCATATGAGCTATCTACATTCCTTTCGATTTAATGATTTTTCTAAATGACTTGAAATTAGTGGAGCTTTGGTTTATTCATGAAGGTGCTCAATTTTCAACCAACTGGATCATGAGTTGGAACCCAGTCTCACCTACAGAGGTCGGGGTGTTGTATTGTAGCAACAGAAGCCTAGGGCAACACGGAAGTCAACAGATATTTATAGATTTTCATGTGCATTATTATAGATAATTGTTAGCAGAAAAACACAGTCTTCTGATTGTTTGTTTTCTTGCTGAAAGTTAATCCTTCATCTCTTTGTGGCTGTCCTTTCAAGGTCAGATCATCTATATGCTAATTGTATCTGCCTACACAAAGTCTGGTGTGATTGGTTGTTGAATCAGTCGTTGTTCGTATTTTTCTCGTGACCAACATTGACGTCAATTACTGTCTACCAGTTTGGTACATTAGGAACTACACGAAAATGCAATTGTTTTTGTTTTTTGATTGGACGCTAGATAGCAACTGGTGTCATACGTCTAGTCCTTTATTTGTTTGGTGTAGACTGAATTCTATTCCAACGGAAATCCTAAAGGTGTTGCTGTTAAGGTGTACCATGAATGTAAATTTCAAGTTTGACGGCACACTTTACAGACAAGTGGATGGGTAGGCGATTGGCTCCTCATTAGGTCGAATTTGGGCAGATGTCTTTCTAAGGAAACTAGAAAATAAACCTTTGAACAGCCTTAGCAGAAAGTTCACATTTTATTACCGCTATATGGATGAGACACCTTTATTCTTTTTGATAATGATTCGGATAGGAGTACAATAATAACTGAATTCAATGAAGCACATTCTACTTTAAAATTCACGTGCGAAAAGGAATCCCAAAACAGAATTGCCTTCCCAGATATCCTCTTTACAAGAAGACCAGACGGTAGCATAAAAAGAAATTTGCATAGAAAAGGTAAATGGACAGGACAATATATACATTTTCACAGCTTCGTTCCCATCAAGTACAAAAGAAATTTAGTGAAGACCCTCAGCCACAGAGTTAGAGCTATATGCTCAGAAGAAGTAATTGAAGATGAATTAAGCACCGTATATTATACTTTGATTGAAAATAGCTATCCCAACAAATTTATCAAGAAACACATGACAAAGAAAGGGGAAAAGGATTACTCACTATCTGTAAACAAGAAGCCACCTTATATACGACTGCAATTCAAGGGCGATATACCAAGTGAGATAATTACGAAGAAATTAAGATAATCAGTTGAAAGAACTTTTAATGCTGGCGAACTACACGTCTTGTTTAACAGTTTGAAAATATTCGGGCATTGGGTATATGATATTCATTATAATAAAGGTTTTGATAAAGCTATTAGCATTAAATGGTGAAACGTCAATAAAAACAATATCGTTTTGTTATTCATTTATTGGGAAATACAAAAACGTTTATTATAATATACATGTCTTGTTCTCTACACAGTGCGTCGGTGGCATAGCGGTTAGGACGCTCGCTGACCATGCACATGGTCTGGCGTTCGATCCCCAGCCGACGCACTCCTTTACCTCACTAAGCCAGAAATAATGCTGGTAAAGAGGGAAGGTTAGGCATGAGGCTAGCAACCCCATCCTGTAAAAAATAAACTCTGCTACAGAAACGTCAAGCCACTAGCTTGAAGCCCTATGTTCCAGTGGGGAATGTGAAGGAAAAAAAAAGTTCTCTACACGATCGATGGCGATTCCCCAGCTGAAAGATGAAGTACCTAGCCTAGCCACTTCTATTTGTATTGTTATTGGTGGAGCGATTTATATGGGCCGTTGCTATAGGAACTTGCTTTTTCGTGCTCACTCGGGAAAAAATTCACCGGTATGGTTAAGAAAGGCGTAGTAAAAACCACCAACAGTTCGATATTAGACTATCTGGTCGAAACCGGCCACAAAGGTAATATTTAAAAGTCCTTCTCCGTCATCTATCGGGTACCACATAATACAAACAGCAGTGGCTATCGTGATTTGTGTGAAACAACCAGTGCTTTGTATGCAGAAGACGTATGTCCAGCCAGCCACTACTACTGCCCTGGCCGGCCTTCAGTGGAGACTAGAAATGAATAAATTTGTATTATTATCTTTCCTAGTTTTTTCTGATATTCAGTTTATTGTTATGTTGGTGCTATTGAACTGTAATCTATTGATATTATTATTATTGATTCGATGTTATTTAAACAAGATGAATGTTATTCATAACACTCATTCATTCATTCACTATAATGCATATATAACTGTAGTGCCTGATGATGAAGTTATCGAAAAGAGTATTCTTTGTTTAGTATGCATTCTTTTGAATTCTGTCAGTCAAGTTTGCAATGTGAACACCATGCGTGTTAGATAGCTCGTCATCATCAAACAAAGGACTCAATACATTACACTAGTTACTACCAAGTGTGCGTCGGTGGCACAGTGGTTAGGACTCTCGCCGACCATGCACATGGTCCGGGGTTCGAGCCCATGCCGACGCACACCTGATATCTATGGTCGGCCTGCAAAATTTGGGCTACCGATATCCATGCTGAAAATTCCATACTTGTACCAAAAATAGTGTGGAATCAAGCTGTAAATCAAAAACAAAAAAAAAACCAAAGTATCCAATACAAGAGATCGATCCTGAGCTCGAAAAGCTTGGCGGTAACGTTTTTGACTAATACTTCTGGATTTTGGTTTCCGTACTGGAAAGAAACTGACAACTCTACTGTGAAGACTTGATATTGATTACTAATCAATTCAGTCGCCTTAACCTACGAAAATGAAAACAGACGACAGGCTGGTTAGAGTTGGTGAGAATACTTCAATTTACTATACAGAGAAGCACATTATATACAGATGTATAAACATCACCAACCTCGGATAGGTATTATTATTATTATTATTGTATCCTTTAGTTCCTAGAGGAACATAGGGCTTCAGCTGCGCACCTCCATTGCCTTCTGTTTTCTGACAACTTTTTCACCCTGCTCCAGGTCTGTCCACATGCTTTCATCTCCTCCTCGCATGACCTCCTCCAAGTCACCCTTGGACGACCAACTCGCCTCCTTCCTTTCGGGTTCCACTCGAGGGCTTGTCTAGTGATGTCACTTGATGGTTTCCTCAGCGTATGGCCGATCCATCTCCATTTCTTCCTGCCTATTTGTTTCACAATCGGTTCCTGATTGGTTCGCTCCCAGAGATCCCTGTTGATGATCTTTTCTGGCTGGCCATCTGATCTTGAGTATTGAGCGAAGATAGCTGTTAATGAAGGTCTGAAGTTTGTTTGAGATGCTCTTTATGACTCGCCAAGTCTCTGATCCCTATAGTAGCACTGAATTTACATTGGAGTTGAAAATCCGGATCTTATTTTTGATGCTGAGTGCTGTTGACCTCCACACAGATTTGAGAGTAATGAAAGCTTGTCTTGCTTTTCCGATTCTGGCTTTGATATCCTCGTCAGTTCCGCCTGTAGTTGAGACGATGCTTCCCAGGTAGGTGAAGGAGGCTGTTTCTTTCAGGTTCCTCGCATTTATGCTGATTGTTGTCTGTTGTTGTTGTTGATGTTGGCTAGGAATCTTCATCACCTCTGTTTTATCTATGTTCACTTGAAGTCCCATCTTTGATGCTTCTTCTGCAAACTTGTTGCTTTTCACTTGCATATCTTCCAGTTTGTGGGAAATCAGACATATATCATCGGCGAAATCCAGATCCTCCAAGTCTTTTGTGTCAGTCCATTTTATGCCTGTTCCCTCGTTGATTGAATGAAGTCTGACTTCAAGGTTGTCATAAAGTAGTATAGTAAATATCCTACCTCGCTCCAATAGTATATGACCTGCTCAGACTGATTGATGCTAGTGTAAGCCTGTTCTACTTGGTGGGATTAGTCGCTTCCTATCAACATTACTCCCGTCATTGTCATCATCATCATCATCATCATCGTTAACTGGTTGTTTTTTCTATTTCAGACGATGATCAAAAACAACTGCCTCTGCCTACTGTTGAGCAACTCAAGTGTGAAATGGATATTATCAGTGTAAAATGGTCAGCATGTATGAAATCAGGCGATGTATGCTGTGTTTGTAATAGTCTCTTAGTCTTATCCAATCAATCAGTAAGTTCATTAGTTTGTACACATATATATATCATTATTGTTGCCATACTTTTAATGCAGTTTCTTTTGCTTTAGAATTATTTTTGTTAGGTTGATCAACTTAGATGATGATATACTATCAACAGACTTTAGAAATCCCTCATCCTGTTGCTGTTATCATCAAGAGTGTATATTGTTGTATTATTAATATTATTATTATTCCCCTTGGTTCCGAGTGGAACATAAGTCTTCAAAAGCACATCACCAGTTTGTTCTGTTCTGCTTAGCTGAACCCGCGATCTTCTTCATGTCACCCTCGGACCGATGACCCACTCGTCGTTTCCCATTGAGATTCCAGTCGAGTGATATGGTCTGCATTGCCCACGATGTCATTCGACGGCCTCCTCAGTGGCGTATGCCCTATCCATCTCCATTTTCTCCTACATATTTGTTGAGCATTCGGCTCTTCGTTGGTTTTTTAGCAGCCAGAGTTTCTTGTTGCTAATTCTTCCTGGCCGTCTGACTGGGCATTTGATCTTCAGTATGGAGCCAGACAGTGAAGGTGGCTTGTTGGAAATGCTTTACGTGACATGCAGTGCAAGTCTCTGACCCGTATGGAAGCACTGACTGACTGACTCCACATCTGTGTTGACAATCCGAATCTTGTTGCTAATGCTGGCTGGCTGAGTGCAGACGATTTGAAAACTGATTTCAGGTAGGGATGAAGAAGGTCTGTCTTGCCTTTCCGATGCTGATTGCCTTTGACATCTTCATCCATTTCAACTGCCTGTACTTGAAACGATTCTTCCTAGATAAGCGAATGTAGTGACTTCTTTCAAATTTCATCCGTTTGTAGCCATTGCCGCCTGTTGTTGTTGTTGATGATGATGATGCGTGACTGTCTTCATCACCTCCATCTTCCCTATGTTCACCTGAAGTCTTGTCTTTACGGATAGCCTCTTCTGATAACTTGTTGGTTTCCTCCTGTAAGTTATCGAATTTATATGGCATTAGACGTGCTACAGTCTTCCATTATGGGTAAATTTTGTTTTGATAAAGTCTCACAGTGTTATACTGTAATGTTTACTGATGACGTTTCGAGCACAATTTATTACCACTCATAATCATTTACTGTCCGGATTAACTGAGGTACTAGGCAGCGTCTGGGAATCAGAAGAAGTCCCGTCGGGTTGGTGTAAGTCACTGATTATCCCCATATACAAGAAGGGAGACAAGTCTTCCTGTGATAATCACAGAGGGATTAGCTTGACTAATATAGTATATAAAGTCTTAGGCTCAATAATCATGCGTAGATTGAGTGGTGCTCGGGAGGCACAAACACGAGAAAGCCAGACAGGCTTTAGACCAGGAAGAGGGTGTATTGATCATATCTTCACCCTCCGACAGATTCTAGAACATAGGGATTCCTACCGGCGTTCAACAGTCATTATATTTCTTGACCTAAAGGCAGCATTCGACTCTGTCGATCGGGAAGTTCTCTGGAGATGCTTGGCTGTAAAGGGTATTCCGAGAAAATATATTGCACTGATTAAGGCACTCTACTCGTACTCATATAGCCAGGTGAGGGCTTACGGCGAGCTGTCATCTGAACTGATGACGACCAGTGGTGTCCGTCAAGGATGCCCATTATCCCCTTTACTATTCAACTTCATCATAGATGTGTTAATGGACTTAACCCTAAGTGACTTTAGCGACTCAGGGATTGACTTGCTACCAGGGAATAATCTCGTTGACTTGGAATATACAGACGATATAGTCCTTCTAGGCGAAGACGCTGACGAAATGCAGAGTCTTCTAAACACCTTGAGCCGCAATCTACGAATGTTTGGCATGCGATTAGCCCCCGCCAAATGCAAGATGATGTTACAGGACTGGACTACACAGACTCATAGTTTAGAAATAGGGAGTGAATTGGTAGAACATGTTGACCGCTTCACTTATTTGGGAAGTACCATCAGCCAGTGCCAACGGGTTGATCTCTGACGAAATCTCAGCACGAATACAGGGGGCTAGCTTCGCATTTGTTAGTTTACGCCGACTCTGGCGTAGACGAGATGTTCGACTATCGACCAAAGGGCGGGTGTACTGCTCATCAGTCCGTTCCGTCCTCCTTTATGGTTGTGAGACCTGGCCACTGAGAGTGGAAGACATGAAAAGACTGGCTAGCTGTCTTTGATCATAGGTGCCTGCACTCTATTTCCCGTGTAAAGTGGCATAATAAGGTGAGCAACATTGAGGTTAGGCGTTGAGTTCTAGGTAAACAGGGGAAATCAATCGATGAAGTCGTGAAGTTACAAAGACTGAGATGGTTAGGACACGTGTTACGTATGCCAAGCCATCGCCTCCCTCGACGAGCAATGTTAGCGGATATAGGGTCCGGCTGGAAAAAAGTTAGCGGCGGTCAAACAAAAACATGGCCGAACCAGTCAATGAAATCTACAACAGTTGGTCTAAGCCACGTAGGAAGGTGTAGACTTCCAGGCTGGGGTCCTCGGGACGGTAAAAATCTATGGTTGGAAACAATTGGTGACATGGCTCAAACTCATCGTTCTCAGTGGCGCAGATGCATCCACTCCCTGTGACTTATGATCTTCAATGAAACTGTTTTGTATTTCTTTATTACTCATTTGTCTCACACCTCTGCTCACTGTTTCTATTATGCTTTTCTTGTACTTTCTTCTCTTGCTTCGCGTGCTACACGGAGTGTGGCGACTTGAACTGCTGCACATTTGTGCAAAGTTCTATGTCGAAAACAGAGAGACAGACAGACTCATAATCATCTCAAAGTAATCACACGACTTCCTAAATTCATTTATATAGTTCCATTGTTTTTCACTTGATTTGATTAGTAGCAGTATTTTCCATATTTCGGATATGAGGGATGAATCATTCCTATTGCTCATGTTGAGTGCAGACTCGATGAACAAGGAAGGATTCAGTAATCAACCTCTCTCTCCACCTATCTAGATTACTTTTTAGAATTTTAACCCTCTCCCACCCTATTGTTTGGTTGTGTGTTAATGCATGCAGTGCAATTGCTGAGCTTTTTTCTAAATTACTCATCTTCTCGGGGTCAACCATTCTTACCTTAGCTAAATTCTTATGTTCTGACAATCTGACTACACCTGACCTACTAGTTTGACTGACCTATGTAGTTGACCTAACTCACAGTCATTGCAAGCTATTTTGTAGATTATATAATATCGTCTAATTGAGTCAACAGGGTCCTTTAGCCTACAGAGCTTGTCCCTGAGTGAGTTTGTAGGTTTAAATGCCACCCTAATTCCTACTTTATTTAGAATCCCACGTAGGGTTTCAGATGTCCCTTCTTTATATGGTATAAGTGTAGATGACTTATATTCTCTCTTATTCATGTTATCATTACTAGTTTCACAGTTATTTTTATTTCGCTTTTGACCTTTACTTATCTTTCTAATGAATTTTATAGGATAGTTATTCAACACCAACGCTTCTTCTATCTGTTTTATCTCATCATTTAGGGTCCTTTTTGTGCTACTGAGTACCATTGCTCGGTCTGTTAAACATTCAACTAAGCCTGCCTTAACAGTTAACGGATGAGATGAATTAAAGTCTAAGTATCTATTAGAATGCGTTGGTTTTCTGTACAAACTAGTGTGCAGTTAACCTTCTTCTATTCGTTTTATTTTACAATCTAACACATGCAATAAGAATGACTTATCACTCATATCCGAAATATGGAAAATACTGCTACCAATCAAATCAAGTGAAAATCAAGAGAAAAACAATGGAACTATATAAATGAAGTTAGGAGGTCGTATGATCACTTTGATATGATTATGAGTGGTAATAAATTATGCTCGAAACGTCATCAGTAAACATTACTGTATAACACTGTGAGACTTTATCAAAACAAAATTTACCCATAGTGGATTTACACTCTGCCACAGTGCACAAGTTTTCTTCTTATATCAATGGTGCTACAGTCTTGTACTCGGTCCAGCGTATTCTTGTCTTCTCGTTCTCTTTGCAGAGTGTACCCCATAATCCTGTCCACCACATTTAGGAATATAATTGTGGGTGATAGTATTGAACATATAGTCTTGTCTTACCGGGGTATTCACTTTGAAGGCTTCACTGAGTTTTTCTTGTTGTGGATCACTTGACACATGTCATTGTCATGTATAGCCAACTGTTGAATGAGTTTAATAATGATTTGTAGAGTTCACTTATTAAACAAACCTCCAACAATAAGAGTGGATACCTTCGTCATGTAGTCCAGTTGGTTTAGTGTAACTTGGTATCGTTGTGTTCTTAGAGCTGGTTGGTGCAATCACGAAGCTTTCGTTTTTTGATGTTCTCTAGGCAGCAATTTCAGCACTAACTTTTTAATATGAAGTGAGTTCTTCAAATTCTCGGTGAGAGTGTAATAATTACCTCTTCTGATGACGACTAGTTGTTTCCATAGGTTTTATTACCTTCTTGTACACTTCTATTGGTATTGATTATTTTTTTAGGTGACCTGATATTTATTTGACCTTTTGTCTATCTGTAATTTTCATTGAATTTAGTTTATGTGGTACACAAATACGGTGAAATATTGTTCACTTATATATATACTTGAAACAGACTCATTGACTTGTGATTCCTATTCACGCGACAATTCATGCTTAAATCCAATGCGAAATGGTGAAGTATTTAGGTGTGAATGGCGGTATTTGACCTGAAAAGTCGTACTGTTGACGTTGTTATAAGTGTTACTGAATTTTCAATGAGAATCATCATTAGTACACATATCATTATTCGTCCTTTGGGTTTCGAGGGGGGGTGGGTGGGCAAAATACGGCTGTAAACAGCATATCCCCAATGGTACTATACACTTCAGCTGGGTCCACGATTGGCCATAATCTCTCATCTGCTCATTGCCCCGCGATCTCCTCCATGTCACCCTCACACCGACGACCCACTCGTTGCTTCCTATTAGGATTCCACTCGAGCAATGGGCTGGCACGTGATATCATTCGACGGTCTCCTCAACATGTGCCCGATCCACCTCCATTTACTCTCACATATTTGTTGAACAATAAGCTCTTGATTTGTTTTTTGTCAGCCAGAGGTTCTTGTTACTAATTCGTTCTGGTCAACCGGCCATTTGACCTTCAGTATGGAACCAGGCAGTGATGGTGGCAGCCGTTGATAAAAATTTTCAGTGTCCCGTTGTAAATCCTTTTCGTGACGCGCAGTGCAAGTTTCTGACCCTCATAGAAGAATTGTCTGACTGACTTGGTATTTGTATCTACAACATGAATCTTGTTGTTTATACTGGCTGGCTGAGTGCAAAAGATTTCCAAAATGATTTCAAGTTGATGAGGGTGTATCTTGCTTCTCCGATTCTGGTTACTGTTGATATCTTCATCCGTTTCCACTGCCGGTGTTCGAAAACGTGTTTCCTGGTCAGATAAGTGATGGAGAAGGGTGACCTCTGTCAAATCTCTCCCACTGATGGTGATTGGTGCCGATTGTTTTCGTTACTGTAGTCCGTTGGTTATCTTCATAACCTTTTTCTTCTTCTCTGTGTTCACCTGTAGTCCTGTCTTCGCTGCCTCTTCAGCCAGTTTGTTGGTTTTCGACTGCAAATCTTCGAGTTTGTGTGACATTAAACATAAATCATTCACGCACGAAATCCAGATGTTCTAAAGTTTGCTGATTGGTCCAGCGTATTTGTCTTCTCTTTTCCTACACATGGTACACCGCATAATCTAGTCCACCACAATTAGGAATATCATCGGTGATAGTATTGGGCAGCCAGCTTGTCTTGCTGTTGCATTCACTTCGAACGCCTATCTGAGTTTTCCACTGTGGATTGCTTGACACGTGTGTTACTGTCATATATGAAATTAATAACTATATTTTAAATTTATGTTTTACTCAATTTTCATATGCATATATATATATTTTTCTTTGTGTTATTACTTACAATTACCCTAAAGGTTCATTGTCATTCATGTGGCCTTCTCACCTGTTCACGGTGTATCCATCCCAATCCACCGATCATTCCAAGTTTATGGTCTACTGATCAAAAATCTGTACAGTTTTGTAATTCTTGTACTTCTAAACTTCGTAACAGTAGTAACACTTCAACTGTTGGTAGACATTTCAGTCAGTTAAAAACAGCCAGCATGTCAACTACAAAGCCTGAAAACAATTCATCTTCAACTGACCATCTGGTGACGTTTACATCTTCCACATGTAACTCTTAATGTTGCCTGTGACTTTTTTCCTCTCTTCTCAAATTTACCATGTGATATTAGGTATTTGTGCGTGTGTGTGTGTCTATCCATGTTTTCTGTTTTTCTGATAAAAATAATCTGTGATCATGTTTCGACAAGTGCTGTGTCATTCTGTACCTCCCTACTTACGTCCACATCCTTGTATCTTCACAGTTCCCTCTTTTTCCCCTCTATTCGTCCCTTAATCCCGTGTATTTTCGTTAACGAGGAATATGTGCTTTGAATTAGATCAATGTAAGCAAGATTTGTTAGTTTATTGATTTATTTTCTCTCCACCTCTTTTTTTTCCATCTTTACCGTCTCTTCTGTGTATGTGTGCGTGCGTGCGTGCGTGTGAGTGAATATCGATCGTTTGTTTGTCTTTCCCCTCCTTCTCTTTATCGTATTTTTTATTTCTGATGTTCATCTCTGCTCCTAAACAACCTTCTCCTTTGATCTATCATCGCAACTAGTATAATCGGTTAAAAAGAAATTCTATGAATCAGCCGTTTTTCTTTTCTTTATGTGTTATAATTTCTAGGGGGGTGTAATTTAATTAATCTCATGTGTATTGATTTTTTTCACACTTCAGTCACCATGTGTAGGTTAAATGTACCGACAATATTGATGATAGATAATATAGCGACGACAGCAATAATACTAGTAATAATCAATACTTTCTTCAATATCATACATTATATTACACTCATTATCTTTTTGTTATATTCTGTTTGTTTGTCTGTCTTTTTCTCAAAAAACTTTTTTTTTCTTATTTCTATGTGTATATTTTTTTTTAAATAAGGAGTTGAATTGTGTAAAAAAATGAGATAAGGCTTTTTGATAAATTTCCCTGGAATATATATTTCCTATGTTATTTTTCATGGTCTTCATTTCCTTGTATTGATAGGAATTGAGCTTTCATTGATCGATTGATTGATTGATTAACAATGCGTTGATTATTGATTATCAGTAGCAAAATAAAGACCAACAGCAGCAACAACAACACCAACAGAAATAACGTGTATTAATCGATAGTTATTTTCCAGATCAGTGTTACTACAAAATGAAGTGAACTTTTTTTTTCTAATGGATGTTTTCTTATTAATTTGTTTATTTATATATTTGTTGTTGTTGTTGTTGAGTGAATGAGTACTTCTCAGGTTAATGAGAAATGTTTATAATAACTATTTAATCATTATTTATCAAGTGTTACTTCGCAGGGATTTGATTGGTTACAAGTTTGGCCACGAGTGTTGAGATTAGTTAGAGAGCCATTGAGAAACCAGCTGGACACCTGTTTCATCCTTGTTTAGGCCTTCTCATCAGGGTGTCCCCGCCAGGGTTCGAACCCAGGACCTTCCGGTTACAAGGTGAGCTTGCAGACCATTCAGCTACTTGGACCTGATCAGTGGCCAATGAATTCTAGCTTTCACGGAGTCTAGTGTAAATTTTCATCAATTTCATTCAACAGCTGGTTATATGACAATGCCATGTGTCCGGTGATCCCCAACGGAAAACTAGGCGAAGCATTTGAAATCATTACAGGAGTAAGACAAAACTGCCTACTATCACTGACGATATTCCTAATTGTGGTGGACTGAATAACGAGGGGGACTGTGGGAACTGAGAAGACAAGATTACGTTGGGATAAGAAGAAGACCTTGGGAGATTTGGACTCTGTGAACATTTATCAACACTTGCCTTGTCAAGCTCCTTTCGTGCTGAATATCAGATGGCCGGTCGGGAAGAATTAACAACAGGAAACTCTAGAGACGAACCAATCAAGAATTGGTTATTCAACAAATATGCTGAAGAAGATGGATATCAGTCGAACACACCATGAGTAGACTGTCAGGCGACATCGCGCACCAGTCCCTCGAACGGGACTGCAACGGGAAACGACGAGTGGGGCATGAGCCAAAGAGTGATATGAAAAAGGTTGTGTGGAGAGAAGATGGAAGCTTGTTGTCAGTTAAAGAATACTGTGGAGAACAGGACAAAATGGAGATGCACTGTTGAATCTCTATGTTCCACTTGGAACCCAAGGGCGAATAATAATAATAATACTGCTACCATATAAGAAAAAACGTATATCACAGTGTTTGTGGCTGTCTGTCTGTCTGTCTATTTTCGACATAGAACTTTGCACAAATGTGCGGAGGTTCAAGTCGCCACATTCCGTGTAGCACGCGAAGCAAGAGAAGAAAGTACAAGAAAAGCATAATAGAAACAGTGAGCAGAGGTGTGAGACAAAGGAGTAATAAAGAAAAACAAAACAGTTTCATTGAAGATCATAAGTCACAGGGAGTGGATGCATCTGCGCCACTGAGAACGATGAGTTTGAGCCATGTCACCAATTGTTTCCAACCATAGATTTTTACCGTCCCGAGGACCCCAGCCTGGAAGTCTACACCTTCCTACGTGGCTTAGACCAACTGTTGTAGATTTCATTGACTGGTTCGGCCATGTTTTTGTTTGACCTCCGCTAGCTCTTTTCCAGCCTGACCCTATATCCGCTAACATTGCTCGTCGAGGGAGGCGATGACTTGGCATACGTAACACGTGTCCTAACCATCTCAGTCTTTGTAGCTTCACGACTTCGTCGATTGATTTCCCCTGTTTACCTAGAACTCGACGCCTAACCTCAATGTTGCTCATCTTATTATGCCACTTTAGACGGGAAATAGAGCGCAGGCACCTATGATCAAAGACAGCTAGTGGTTTTTTCATGTCTTCCACTCTCAGTGGCCAGGTCTCACAACCATAAAGGAGGACGGAACGGACTGATGAGCAGTACACCCGCCCTTTGGTCGATAGTCGAACATCTCGTCTACGCCAGAGTCGGCGTAAACTGGCAAATGCGAAACGAGCCCCTTGTATTCGTGCTGAGATTTCGTCAGAGATCAACCCGTTGGCACTGGCTGATGGTACTTCCCAAATAAGTGAAGCGGTCAACGTGCTCTACCACTTCACTTCCTATTTTTAAACTAGGCGTCGATGTAGTCCAGTCCTGTAACACCATCTTGCATTTGGCGGGAGCGAATCGCATGCCAAACATTCGTAGATTGCGGCTCAAGGTGTTTAGAAGACTCTGCATTTCGTCAGCGTCTTCGCCTAGAAGGACTATATCGTCTGTATATTCCAAGTCAACGAGATTATTCCCTGGTAGCAAGTCAATCCCTGAGTCGCTGAAGTCACTTAGGGTTAAGTCCATTAACACATCTATGATGAAGTTGAATAGTAAAGGGGATAATGGGCATCCTTGACTTTCCCATATAAATTCCTAAATGCCCCACCTTTTCCCACTTCATGAACACAATATATCCCACTTTTTTTTACTCCACTTTAGCCGTTTTCATGAAAATGTTCTCTGACTAGTAACTAATTATTCAAGCTTACAAGAATGCTTAACTAGTTGTAAACTATGAGTAGATACAGCTGATTTGAGGATATTGTGAAAATAAATCTAGGTAGTGTTGAATTAGTGTTAAATGCGTTAAGCAAAATACAAGTGAATGCTGAACTAGTGAGACGTATGCTATTGGAGTACTATTTGTGAGGCTTTAGAATCTTCTCAGCTTTACCTCACCACAAAAATAAGCTCCAGTTGGAACCGCATTAACATTATTTCCGCATTATCGTACGTTTGCATGGTTAAATGCATTTTAGGCCTAAGTATGTTAGAACTGAAAGATAGGGATTTCAGTGAGGCACAAAGATGGACAGAGAGAGTCAGTCACGACAAGAGGGTAGCGTCAAAATGTCAAAGAAAGGATAAAAAATCAAATGAGAATAACGCTTTGCTTCTCTCCATTAAGTGATACTTCAACATACAATATCGGTTTTCACGAGCTAGTGGAAACTAATCTGATTTCTTTGTGCTCAGTTCTTCGTTGTGAGATCAAGACTCCTGGTTTCCGATAAAATTCTGCTGACTGTCGTAGCTTTTGGTTGACTCCAAAAAGAGTAGCGCTGGATTTATTTTATGTAGTTTGTAGTATACGGTTTGTTAAGACCGTGTTGTAACAGTCAATAAGGTTGGTGCTTTCACCCGTTAGTCACCCAGTGATGTCGGAAGAAATACTTCATTTTCCTCTTTATGGGAAAGTGATTTGTCAATGATACATAGTATATACATTTCATTCTGATTACTGGAGTCGATCGTTTTGGGGCAAAGTTAAAGTATCACGGCCAAAGCCAATGTCCTCCTAAAGTTAACCTTCAAAAGCCAATCAGATACAGAGATTCCTATGAAGCGTCCCTATAAATTAAATTTTGTTTTTGAACTTGGAGAGAATAGTTCTAGGATTCTACATATTTACTGGCTACCTTTTCTGTAAATCTATTATGTTAGGTAGGCTTGTACCTTTCAAGACTAGGGTTTAGGGTTGAAGGTAGGTTTGGTAGTTAGGATAATGGTTAGATTCAGAAGTATCAGTGCCGTGGCTTACAGTCACCTGGGTGTATGCATACATCGCGCATATGTTATCATCTCACTAGAGATCATATGCGTAGTGACTGGAGACATTACTAAAACACATAAGATACAATTCATGAGTGCAATATCACGTTTACAATGTTTTTTTATGTATTTTTCAGTGATTATGCGACTTTTTCACATGGAAATACTGATAACAATCAGAACACCCATGGATATTTTAAGGTCACTCTGGTTTTTGTTATGATATTCCAAATTTACCAGATTTAGTCAACTCTGCTCCGTAGCCCAACACGAAATGTATTACTATCGGCACCTATGACCGAAAAAGCTGTGCGCTGTGGCTAGGAATAACAATAACAGAGTGGTTGAGGATCTATTCATGCTGAGATTAACTCTGTTATGAAGATTTCTTGACTTTCACCCATCAATGTCTTACTATTTTATATACTTAGTTCAATTCTATCTCTCAGTTGTACGAGATATCCTGATATTCTGGTTTACAAAGACTAGACAAATCAGCTGGTGCCAAAACAAACAATCGAATTATAATTCACTAATAAATAAAGGCGTAGTGACTGTGAAAAAAAACAACCGTTCAATTGATTATGGTAGTTTTGTGAAAAGTGGTGTGAGCATAGGTGTGTCTGGAAATATCAGAATCTCATTGAAACCACTTGCTTATTGTACACAATAATCAGTAAACACAAGCTTAAATCGGTGATGATCACAACAAGGAACCAATGAGAATATCAGGAGAACAAGCGATGGAAGTATGCTTGTAAGGAGTAGACAGTACGAGTGCTACAATCTAGAATGCAACTGAAAGCTTTACTAAGTTATTAATCCCCCAGTGAAGATCACTCAATTTTAGCACCAGCGGAACTCCGTTATTTACCACCATGATATATTATTATCATGTAGGTAAACTTATTAGATTGGGTTACGTTGCATATAGGAGAATCTTTTAAAGAAATTTCTCTTTCGATCGTTCGTATCCCATTATTCATGCAGTTCCTTTTACACTGCATACTTATTGTCGTATTGTTATTATCAGAGCACAAATCCATTCTTCAGAGACATTGTAAAGGGAATTGTTATGACTCGAACTACAACCCAGTAGACTATGAGCGAATACTATCTTTAAAGCGCTGGCTAATTTGTCCTAATCGCACGTCAACAACAATAACACCGCCGGGCCACAAAGACAGGAGAAGACTTGACGTCGATAAGAGAGAGAGAGAGCTTTTACATTCTCAAACAACAGTCCAGAAAGAGGTTGGCTGAGCTTGTCCATATATACGTTTAAAATGACCTTGAGAGGCACTGATGTCATTGATAAAGTAAAACAGTGAATGACCAATAGGATTACAAAGGTCATAAGTAGCGTGAGAGAAAATTTGGTCATAAATCAATAAGTGGGGTGAGGGAAATACAAACAGACAGGTAAAATTTACCTGTAGATAGTTAGGTCTAAATATCAGGAATATCATTAACTATTACTGTATAACACCACTGTGTGATTTATCAAAATAAAATCTTATCTATAATGGAGTTACAGTCTATCGCAGTGCCCAAGTTTTATATATATCAGTTATATCACTAACTATCGCCAAAAGAAATTGTGCTCAAGTACTTTAGCAATTGAATATAACTGTTCAGGTAATGTTTGTTAATTTGCTTAAGATTTGAATTATTCAGCTATGAGAAGATTTAAGGTTGCACTAAATTCAAACGGCTTTCCACTGACTTAAATAGATTGCTAAAATTAAAACAAGACATATAAACGAACAATATATACTGTTTGCGAAGAGATCTTCAG